CCAGGCCTGGATCTGCCGTGGGGATGGTGGAGGAACCTCCAGGAGCAAAGCTTGGAGCATCAGTCCTGGGAGGAGTGGCTGAGGATGCTCAGCGTGGGGAAAAGGAGGTTCAGGGAGGACCTTCTACCTCTCTGCAACTCCCTGACAGGAGGTGTAGCTAGGTGGGAGTCAGATCTGCTTCCAGGGAACAGCGACAGGACGAGAGGAAACAGCCTCAAGTTGTGCCAGGTTGGACATGAGGAGGAATTTCTTCATGGAAAGGGTTGTCAGGCAGTGGAACTGCTCAGGGGAGTGGTGGAGTCACCATCGCTGCAGGTGTTCAGAAAACATGTGGATGTGGCACTTAGGGACGTGGTTTTGTGGCCACAGTGGGATTTGGTTGAAGGTTGGACTTGCTGATCTTGGAGGTCTTTTCCAACCTCTCTGATTCCATGACTGGTGAGGTGATGGGTGGCTCAGAGGAGCCACTGGAGCCCTGGGATGCTGCAGATGCCATGGAAGTGCTGTCCCCTCTGGTGACACTGCACTGGGCCCAAGGGACTGGTGTTCCCTCTCGTTCTCCTGCATCTTGCAGGATGATTTCCTGAGGCTCTGGAGCATCACAGTGGGCTCTGGCCTTGGTGGTGGTGTGTGGTGCCATGGGGACTCTGCTCTCCCTCCTGGTGCTCTCCCAGTGCTCTGTGCAGGATGTGGCTGGAGGAGCCATTGGCAGACAGATGTTGTCTGGGTTGGAGGGATAAATTCTTGGATCTCTTGATGAGGGATGACATGCTCCTCATCCCTGTTCCAGCAGCTCCAGCAGGATATGAGCTGCTTGGTACCAACTGTGGAGGGTACGGGGCTGCTCTGTACCCCCTGCCCAGGCTCCTGCCCTCCAGAAACCACTTCCCACAGCATTCCCAGCAGCAGAACTGCAATTCCTCATGGATTTCAGGCCAGGAGCACCTGCCCAGGTCTGTGCAGCAGCTCAGGTGCAGCACTCAGTCATGGAACAGACTCAGTGTTATAGCACAGCCCTTTCCCTGCAGGATTCCTTTACCTCCCACAGGGATTTTGGGGTGTGTTCCCTCCTCCTGCAGCTCCAGACCTGCTGATGGATGAGCAGGAAGCTTTTCTCCAGGCAGAAGGTGCTGACCTGGGGTCAGGTGTGACCTGCAGCCAGGTGACAGGTTGCTTTGGCAGCCCAAAGGCAGCCAGAGGAGGCCAAAATTACCCCAAAATTAGCTCCTCTTTGAAGCTGAGGTTGGGTTGGGAGGTGGCAGCTCCCAGCCCTGCAGCTGGACAGGTGTTGAGTCCTTTCTGGAGCTGCTGTGCCCGTGAGGAGCCTCACTTGGCATGTGGGTGCTGGAGCAGTGTTAGGCAGCGGCTTCTTCTCCATGAATGACTAAAGAGGCCTCAAGAGTTGTCTCTAATGACATAATATTTTGCTAATGGGCTTGTGGTTTGTTCAAGGAGTCCTAGGACCTCCCAGTGCTGGGATGAGGTGGTGAAGAGCTGAGAAACACCTGGGAATTGCTGCCCTGGTCTTCCTATGGTCAAGGAGTTTGATGGTCACTCTAATGGTCACTTCTTGTGCAACTCCTCATGCTAATTAGTCATTTTTTTTAAAACAAAGGTGACTTCAAGGTGGCTGATGCAGCAACTCTTGTGCTTCAGAGAGGACTTTGCTCCTCCCAGTTCCAGGAATCCCATCCTGATGATGAGGGATGATGGGTCATTAATGATGCCTTTTGCTCCTGTGCTGGTGGGGCAACCAAACCAGGTCCTGTCCTTGGTTCTGCTGGGAGATGGAGGTTGTGGCCTCCTGACCTGTGGTCCCTGTGGATATAGGATGGATCTGGTGGTCACCATAAGCTGATGGATCTGGTGGTTACCATAAGCTGATGGATCTGGTGGTCACCATGAGTCAGTAGATCTGGTGGTGGCTCATGAGGTGGCTCAGAGCAACTTTTGGGCTAATTCATGGCTGTGTTTGCTCCTGAACTCTCGTTTCTGACTGGAGGTAAAGCTGCTCCCTTGGTCTGTGGTGAGTGTTAGCCAGTCTGGCTCAACTGAGGAAGAACTGCTGGGTAACTGCCCCTGAAATCCTGATTTCCTGGAACTTGAGTGGCTTCCCAGACTTGTGTGCATGGAATCAGTCCTGCCCTGAAGGGCAGAGTCCACTTTTGGGGTTCTCCAGCCCCACAGGGCTGTGCTGATCCCCCACAGAACAGGAGGGGAAGAAGAGGAGTATGGAATAGGTTGTTTTGGTGGAGGTTGGAGTTGGGAAGTGGAAGATTCAGTCTGTGGTAATCGTTTCTTGCTGTCCCCCTGGTGCTGATGTAAAATCCATCCACGATGTAACGGTGTGGTGTGAAGTGTAGCTGGTTTGGGAACAAAGTGGCAGTGGAGCTCCTTCCCAGCTGGATCCGTGGGAGCAGAGCTGGTGTTGGATTTGAAGGAGAGTTGGTATGAATCCAGAAATAGAACTTTGTGGGTGGCTGATACTTGGTGGATTGTTCTCAACTCAACTAGGTGTGAGAGGCTTCAAGTCAAAACCTCCACACGTTTGGATGAGGTTTTATATGGAATCATTTAGGTTGGAAAAGGCTTCTTGGGTCATTGAGTCCAACCATTTACTCACCTCTGCCAAGAGGATGGGGAGAGCTCTTAGTGTTTTCATTTGTGAGCAGATAGTGTTAAATGTGTGAATCCAAGTGATGTGTCTGGACACAAAGGAGAGAAGTTTGCCCTTCCCTAACCTTGGATTCAAGTCCTGGGGGTGCCACATTCTGTTTTCCAACATTTTCTCTGCCTGACTCCCTAAATCCCTTTAGCACTGCAGTAGGGAAGGTGCTGGGAGGAGTGGGGAGAGCACAGCCTTGTTATAAAACTGCTTGGGAAGCTTCCTGGGATTGCTGGTTCTCCTGGTCCTCAGCAGGGGTTGTTTTTTTAGCCTTTTCCATCCATTTGGGCAGCTCTGGCTTTAGCTCACATACCCTTCACCTGCATTTTGGGGAGCTGATGTCCTCCAAACTCTTGCTGCAGGCACAACCCCAAATTGCTCAGGGCCCCAACCTGTTTGTCCAAGGAATTTGGCAATGCCCAATCCAGAGCAGCCACGTGAGGTGTGTTGTGAAACAGCTCCATGGCTCTGGATGCTGAACTTGCTTGGGGTTTTCTTTCCAAAGGCTTTATTAATTACCTAGTTGGGAGATTTGCTTCGTAGCAGGATGGAGACCCAGTGTTCTGGGTGCCCTACTTAGGGCACTGCTCTGGGAGTTGGGTGAACACGACTGGATGTGCTGGATGGAGCTTCTGGGAAGGATGGAGAAGGTTCTTCTGGGAAGGGCAAAGGGTGTTTTCTCCTGATGGGATGAAGTCTCCTCCTCTCTTAACACTGTTTTTCTGATCTCCACTAGGAAACACAGACTGACAAGAACTCAAAGTGCCTTTTCCCCGGTTGTGTTCAGCCCCCTCTTCACAGGTGAGGAGTTGGGGAGGGTTGTGCCAATGTGGGGCTTCATTTTGCTGTGGAATGGGCAGTGTGTGCTGAAGGATGACTAGTGCTTCCACCAGATCCTTCCATTGTTAGTTTACCCTATTGACTGTCGTGAAAACGACTTGTGTCAAATTTTGCCACTTGGTGGAACAGTGGCAATACTCTCCTAGGAGTTTTGCCTTTGGAGAAGACCATGGAAGTATCTCCAAAGTGAAGATATCTGGATTTAACTGTGTTGCTTTGTGGTGGCTTCTCCAGTCTCACAGCTCAGAGCTCTTGGTGTGTTTAAGGTTTGGTTTGAGGGGATTTTCTGAGCTTGAGACCCTCAAAGTGGGATAGGACTCAAATGTCTGGCCCAGCTTGGATGAGTTTGTTGCCAATTTGCTTTCAGGTGAGTGAAGCTTTGAGGAAGGCTGTGCTTGCCTTTCCCAACCTCTCCACAGGCATCTCTTGGAAGTGGAGGCTCTGGGTTGAACTCATCACAGCCTTCAAGTGCTTAAAGGGGCTCCAAGAGAGCTGGAGAAGGACTTTGGATGAGGACCTGGAGTGCCTGGACAAGGTGGAATAGCTTCCCACTGCCAGAGAGTAGGGATAAGTTGGATATTGGGAAGAAATTCCTCCCTGTGAGAGTGAGGAGGCACTGGCACAGCTTGCCCAGAGCATTTGTGGCTGCTCCATCCTTGGGAATGTTCTAGGCCAGGTTAGATGTGGCTTGGAGCAACCTGAGCTGGTGGAAAATCTCTCCACCCATGGCAGTGGGGTGGAACTGGATGAGCTTTAAGGTCCTTCCAAGCCAAAGCATTCCATGATGTGCCTCCCTAACTGCACCACTGTGCCACACTGCAGCTCCTGCTGCTTTGGGAAGGTTTTAAAAGCTGAATTCCAGTCACTCCTCTGAGCCTGGTTGTCCGTGGGGTTGTTTGCACAAGCTGAATGCAACCCAACCACTTTATTTTTAGGGTGTGGAACTGAAAGAGCAGCTGTGTGCCTGTGTGTGTGCTCACACCCAGCAATCCCCCAGGGACAAAGTATAATCACAGCCCTAAACACTGCTCTCAGCATGGCTTATTAATAGCCAGAGCTTTGAAAGGCAGAAGGAAGCTGAGTCAAGACAGACCTGTGTGGGGTAGGTAAATACTCTCAGCTACCTGCCAAGGGGTGGGTGATGCTCTCTGTGGTATCTGGAGCAGGAGTTCCTGCCCACAGGATTTTTAGTGGCTTCTGCAGCCGTGGGAATGTTCTAGGCCAGGTTAGATGTGGCTTGGAGCAACCTGAGCTGGTGGAAAATCTCTCCACCCATGGCAGTGGGGTGGAACTGGATGAGCTTTAAGGTCCTTCCAAGCCAAAGCATTCCATGATGTGCCTCCCTAACTGCACCACTGTGCCACACTGCAGCTCCTGCTGCTTTGGGAAGGTTTTAAAAGCTGAATTCCAGTCACTCCTCTGAGCCTGGTTGTCCGTGGGGTTGTTTGCACAAGCTGAATGCAACCCAACCACTTTATTTTTAGGGTGTGGAACTGAAAGAGCAGCTGTGTGCCTGTGTGTGTGCTCACACCCAGCAATCCCCCAGGGACAAAGTATAATCACAGCCCTAAACACTGCTCTCAGCATGGCTTATTAATAGCCAGAGCTTTGAAAGGCAGAAGGAAGCTGAGTCAAGACAGACCTGTGTGGGGTAGGTAAATACTCTCAGCTACCTGCCAAGGGGTGGGTGATGCTCTCTGTGGTATCTGGAGCAGGAGTTCCTGCCCACAGGATTTGAAATCTGAGGCAGCCACAGCTCCTTGTCCTTGAGATCATCATTCAGGGCTTCAGGAGGACTTGCTGGCAGTGGTGGGAGCTCAGCAGAGCTTGTTTGGAGTGAGTTTTGGGGGGTTGAAAAACCCACCCTGGCTGTGGTGACAGCACTGAAGGTTTCTCCTTGGGGTTTGGGTCCTAGTGCTGAGGCTTTGACCTTGGATTGATTTGGTGCCTTCATTCCTCTCACTGCTTTTCACCTCATTCTAAGCTTTAATGGTTTTTAAGTTAGATTTGGTTATTTTAGCTTAATATGAAGCTTTTCTGGTTTTCAGTGAGACTGAGTGTTTTTAGCCTCGTTTTAAACTTTTCTGCTTTTAACTTAGTTTGGGGGAATTTTAGCCTCATTTTAAGCCTTTTTGTCTTTTAGAGCTTTTCAGGCTCTTAAGAGTTTGTGCCATTACTTTCCCCAAGCAGCATCCTGGATCCAAAGCCTTGAGGCTTCAGAGAATGCCAGTTCCTTAATATATTTCATGGAAAAGCCTCTCCTGCTCCTCCTTATTAAATTTAAGAGCATTTTTGTGGCTTTTGTGGTGAAAGGTGTTTCTCTTTGATCGTCTGTAGGCCGAGTCAGAGGTGTGAGCAGAGTCCTGTGGCAGGAGGTGCCACACGGGCTGTGAGACACATCTGTCTCACATTGCCCCATCGATGAGCTCTGGGAATTCTGGGCTGGAATTCCAGGCTCAGAGCCTCCTCATTCCATCCTGGTGCTGTGCTTGGACAGGGATCAGCCATGTGTGTGTTGTCAATGCCTCAGCCTGACCTTTGGGCAGAGCTGGTTGATGTCTCCAGGGCAGCACAGCAGGGAAATTCCTTTTGAAAACAGCTAATAGGATCATCTTCCAAACCCTGTGGAGCTTCCTGCCTTTTTTCCTCTCCCTATCTCCTTATGCTCCTCCTCATAAAGGTACATACAGCACTAACTGTCTTCTCCACCACCCTCCAGGTGAAACAGTGTCACTGGTGGACGTGGACATCTCTCAGCGAGGACTGACCTCCCCTCACCCTCCAACTCCTCCTCCTCCACCACGAAGAAGCCTCAGCCTGCTAGGTACCATCCTGGAGAGCATCCTGGGCCATCTGGGAGTGTGGGAATGTCCTGGCCATCCTTGCAGGGATGGTGGAGAAGCATCTTGAGGGTCCCCAGCAGTTCGCCTGCCCTGTACCTGCTCCCCCTTCCCCTGCAGAGGATCTTGTTGGAAGCTTCAGATTCCTCCTAGATCAGGCAGGAGGGGAGGGGAGTGTTGGGATGGTGTGAGGTGGGAGGGAATGTGCTGGGTTTGAAGCCTTCCTGCTGCTTTTGGAAGCTTTTCTCCTTTCTACCCACTGCCCAGCCAGGCTGGATCCCTCTGTGCTCTCCAGTCAGTGGAAGTGGAAGCTCCTGAGTGGCTTGGGCTGCTCCTCATCCTCCTCTGAGCAGGAGGAGCTTGGGCTAGGTGAAGTCAGCACCTGTCCCATGTGCTGGGGCTGAAATCTCCTGGGATTGCCTGTCTTGTGCTGCAAGCAGGGCTGGAAAAGGGATTCCTCCCCTCCAGGAATGTGTGCATGTGTGCAGAGCTCTGAGTTGGTGTGAACGCGCGCTCAAGCCAGAGGAGGATGGAGAGCTCCTCTCTTCTCCTGCAAGCAGGGCTGGAAAAGGGATTCCTCCCCTCCAGGAATGTGTGCATGTGTGCAGAGCTCTGAGTTGGTGTGAACGCGCGCTCAAGCCAGAGGAGGATGGAGAGCTCCATTTTTCTCTTCTCCAGGCAGTGCTGCTTTCCCTGGGCTATGCTGTCCTGTTTTCTGACCCTCTCTTGCCTCTGTTCTCTCCTAGATGATATCAGTGGGACGCTGCCTACATCTGTCCTAGTGGGTCCAATGGGCTCTTCCCTGCAGTCTTTCCCTCTGCCTCCGCCTCCTCCGCCCCATGCCCCAGGTCAGCTTAGCTTTGGCAGCAAGGCTCTGGCTTTTCCCTTCAGGAATCTGCACTTTGGGGGTTTTCTTGGGAAGCTTGAAGGCTCTAACATCAGTGGTGCCTCCTTGCCTGCTCAGGGATGTGTGGCCCTGGAGGGATTGTCAAGTCCAGGTTCTTCTTTTCCGTGTCTCGTGGCTCTTGTTGCCCTCCTAAGTGTTCCTGAAGGTTGGGATTGCACCAGTTTTGTCCTGAGTTCAGCCTCTCCCGTTTTCTCTGGCTCCTCTTGGGTTCAGCCCACCCTGATGATGTGTGGGTAAGGTCTGTGATGCTGTGGGAGCAGAATTCCAGGCAGGAACCTCAGCTGGGACAGCCCCACAGCCACACACACAGAGCTTTCCTGGGCACTCACCCTTTGGCTTTCCCTTCTCTTAGGGCCCAGAGGGCTTTAAACTGCCCTTTTTCAGGCTATGTGTCCATTCTCAGCCTGTGCCACATCCCTTCCCTCTGAGCCAGCATAAGGAAGGAGCAGGTGAAGGCACTGAGGGGGTGGAAGAGCCAGAAGTGCTTCTTGCTGTGTCCCTCACAAGGACATTGTCCTTCTGTGGATCAGCACAACATCCTCATGGCACCTTCCAGAACCTCATGGCACCTTCTAGGACCTCACAGCACCTTCCAGTACCTGAAGAGGCTCCAGGGAAGCTGCAGAGGGATCTGTGTTAGGAGCTGCAGTGACAGGACAAGGAATAATGGGGATAAATTGAAAGAGGAAAGTTAGGTTAGGTCTTAGGCAGAAGTTTTGCCCTGTGAGGATGGTGCTGGCACAGGACAGGTTGCCCAGGGAGGTTGTGGCTGTCCCAACCCTCGGTGTTCATTCCAGGTTGGATCAAGCCTTGAGCAACCTGTTCTGATGGGAGATGTCCCTGCCCAGGGCAGGGGATTGACACTAGATCATCTCCAAGCTCCATCCCAACTCCTTCACATCCTATAACTCTATAACTCTCCTCCTCCTGACCTCTAGAGCTGTGCAAGGAGCTGGGGTGACCTCCTTGGGGGTCTGTACCTCCCTGGGGGTGACCCTGGCCTGGCTGTGTCTCCCTGTGCAGACGCTTTTCCCCGGATCGTGCCGCTGCGGCCGGCGGAGACCATGGGCCAACCTCCCCCACACCTGCAGTGCCCTCTCTACCGCCCTGACTCCAGCAGCTTTGCTGCCAGCCTGAGGGAGCTGGAGAAGGTAACAGCCCCCTGGGCTGGTGGCAGCAGCCAGAAGGGAAGAACTGGCTTTGGTTTTGGGGGTTGATCATCCATTCGATAGACTTAGGAGCATACGGTTAGGATAGGAGTGGGAAAAGTCTCCTAGTTCTCCCCCAGTGAGGGGTTTGGGCTCTGCTCCCAGCTAACAAGCAACAGAAGAAGAGGAGACAACCTCAAGTTGCACCAGGGGAGGTTTGGTTTGGATATTAGCATGGAAAGGGTTGTCCAGCCCTGGCACAGCTGCCCAGGGCAGTGGTGCAGTCATCATACCCTGGAGGGATTTAAAGCCATGTGGATGTGGCACTTGGGGACATGGTTAGTGGTGGCCTTGGTTTGCATATTTGCATGGAATGGGTTGTCCAGCCCTGGCACAGCTGCCTAGAGCAGTGGTGGAGTCATCATCCCCTGGAGGGATTTAAAGCCATGTGGATGTGGCACTTGGGGATGTGGTTAGTGGTCGCCTTGGCAGTGCTGGGGGAAGGGTTGGATGCAATGATCTCAAAGGTCTTTTCGAACCTAAACAATGCCATGATTCTGTGATATTTTTTGTGAGTCTGGAAAGGCATTTTGCTGTGCATGGAAGGCTGTGACAGTCATTTTTTGTGAGTCTGGAAAGGCATTTTTCTGTGCATGGAAGGCTGTGATGGTTTCATCTGCCCTTTCCCCACTCCTGGGTGGTGAGGGGTGGAATGGTGTCCTCTCACCCAGGGGCAGTGTGTCCCATCCATACTTCTGGATGGATACAAACACTTCCATTAGGGAGTTTAAAGGGAATTAAGAGCAGACTGTAGTGTGTTTGGTTGCTGATAAAACCTTCCTTGCCATCATGTGCTGACCTTGTGTCCCTCTCTTCCCAGTGTGGGTGGTACTGGGGCCCCATGAACTGGGAGGATGCTGAGATGAAGCTGAAGGGGAAACCAGATGGATCCTTCCTGGTCCGAGACAGCTCCGACCCTCGGTACATCCTGAGCCTCAGCTTTCGCTCCCAGGGCATTACCCACCACACCAGGATGGAGCACTACAGAGGTGAGAGCCATGGGGAGGCTTAGCTTGGATAGCAGGGAGCACTTCTTCATGGAAAGGGTGGTCAGGCACTGGCACAGGTTGCCCAGGGCAGTGGTGGAGTCACCAACCCTGGAGGGATTGAAAAACCATGTGGATGTGGCACTTGGGGTCATGGTTAGTGGTGCTGGTTATCTCCATGATCTTGGAGGGTTTTTCCAACCATGATTCCATGAATTTGGTGCAAGGAAGAGGTGTCTGGTTGCAGCACAGGGATTGTAGGACTGGTCTAACTGGAGGCTTATCCTACTTGGAGCTGTGTGGGCAGGTGACACAGCAGTGCTGGTTGAACTCCATGATCTTGGAGGGTTTTTCCAACCATGATTCCATGAGTTTGGTGCAAGGAAGAGGTGTCTGATTGCAGCCCAGGGATTGTAGGACTGATCTAACTGGAGGCTTATCCCACTTGGAGCTGTGTGAGCAGGTGACACAGCAGTGCTGGTTGAACTCCATGATCTTGGAGGGTTTTTCCAACCATGATTCCATGAATTTGGTGCAAGGAAGAGGTGTCTGGTTGCAGCCCAGGGATTGTAGGACTGATCTAACTGGAGGCTTAACCCACTTGGAGCTGTGTGAGCAGGTGAGAGGCTCTTGGCCCTGTGTCCCCAGCTCTGGTTTCATGGGGCTCAGGGTATGTGTGTGTCGGGTGACAGCACAGGGACAACTGTGTCACTGTGTCCTGACCCTGGTTCTACTCACCAGGCACTTTAATTAAGGTGTTGGAAGCTGCTGGCAGGAACATGAAGCTGTGGAAAGTGATCCCTGGCAGCCACAAGGGCTGGGAGAGGGAGCCATCAGCACCTGGATGTGTGTTTGGAACACCTCTCACTGCTCTGATGCACTTCCTTTGGGAATGCTGGTGATGGGATAGTGCAGAGGGACAGTAACATCTGCAAATGCTCTGTTAAAGTGGGTTTTGGTAGAGTTTTACTCCCAGATGTTGTTGTGGCTGCTCCCAAGTTCAGGGAAGGGTGACTTGTGACCACCTCTGGTCACACTGTGGTTCCTCAGCCCTTGGAGAGCACTGGCTCCGGTGGAACAGCATCCTGGTGCCACTGGTGTGTCATTTTAGTGCTCTGCCTCATCCCAGCTCTGTGAGACGTCAGCCTGGGGTGTCCACCTGGTCTTGGAGAACGTCAGAATCATCCCTAAGTGTCCCCTTGGCCATCAGTGCTCCTCTAACATGACATCTCTGCTCTCTTGGAAGGAACCTTCAGCCTGTGGTGCCATCCCAAGTTTGAGGACCGCTGCCAGTCTGTGGTGGAGTTCATCAAGAGAGCCATCATGCACTCCAAAAATGGGAAGTTCCTCTACTTCCTGCGCTCCAGGGTTCCAGGTGAGCCTGGGGGGGGTTTGCTCTGACCCAGGGAGTCAATGTTACGTGACTTTGGGCTGTGTCCAGGTCCCCATCCCTACCCACTGACTCCTCAGAAGCATCTCAAGCAGCAGATCCATCACTACTTAACTCACGGTGGTGAGGACACTTCCCAAACCTTCCTTTCCAAGAGTATGGAAAGATGATACCACCTCCCCCTGTGACAAGTGGAGCCTGGAAGGATAGGAAATAGCCTATTTGGCTACTAAAACTCCTCTCCCTTCTCTTCCCCAAGTCTCAAACCACTCCATACTTTGTAACTTCCCAGTTTTCCCTTGGCTGAGTCCCACCTGGGGCTGTGGAGGGGAGAGATGTTAGGCTGTGTGTGGGAGTGATTCCAGGTGTGAGCTCAGAGGGAACCTCAAGGGGATGGAGACTGTGGATTTGGAGTCCCTTGGGGGCTGTGGTGCCTGAGCCCATCCAAGGCAGCTGCTTGGAAGCCAGGAAGGAATGTTAAATCTTTGTTGGAGCATGTTTGTTTGATTGCTGAGGGATTATTTCCCCATCCATCAAACTCTGGTTCCTTACCTGTGCTCACATCTCCCTCCTGGTAAATCTGGGAAGAAGTATCTCCTGGATTTATTTTCCTAGGTTTGCTCCTCTGTCCTGTAGCCAAAAAAATCCAGTGTGAAGGGAAGGGAAGAGTCTGCCAATGGATCAATAGAGAGAGGAGCAGTGAGGGACAGAATTTGGGGAGGGGGTGAGTGGTGATGGCCAAAGAGTTGAAGGCTGAGGATTGTTGAGGTAAATATGCAATGAAATGACAGTCAATTTGCTCCCTACCCACATTGCCATGGTGCCTGCAGGTCCTGCTGGTGACAGTGACCTTTCCATGGCTCTGCAGCATGGGGAGGATCCAGCCCCAAGAGTTGCTGGGCTAGGAGAGCTTGGACGTTCCCTCTGCAGCTTAGATCTGTGCAGTGTTGCCCTCTGCAGACACCTCGAGTCACTGGGAGTTGATTTATCCCCTGGCTGTGCTCTGGGGAGCTGTTTTTGCCGTGACTCAACTTTACAAATATCTTTCAATTCAAGATACTTTACCTTCCTGATTCTGGGATCTCCTCCCCCTGAGACTAGGGCTTTGAGGGCTTAGGAGCCCTTAGGAATAAGTTGATTGAGATAAATATCATTGGAAAAGACAATATCCCCCCCAGACAGTGCTGGGCACCTGCTAAGGTGTCCCTTGCTGCTGGATCCTGTAGCTCCTTGGATCCAGGAGTGGATTCTGAGAGTCACCATGCCTTGATCCTGGATAAACCAAGTCTCACGGTGATGCCTGATCCATACTGGGAGTGTGTTTGGGATCTGCAGCTCCCCAGTGAGCTCGATAGTGATGTTCTCATGCTCAAATGTGACCTGGTCCTGGGAGGAAGGGGCTGGGAGGAGGAGGAGGAAGGGGCTTAGAGGAAGGAGCTCAGAGGGGGAGGAGGAGGAGGAAGGGGATCAGAGGAGGAGGAGGAAGGGGATCAGAGGAGGAGAGGGAGGAAGGGGTTTAAGAAGAGGAAGAGGCTCAGAGGAAGAGGAGGAGGAAGGGGCTCTGAGGAGGAAGAGGAAGGGGCTAGAAGGAGGAGGGGGCTCAGAGGAGGAGAAAAAAGGGGCTTGCCCTGTGTCCCCAGCTCTGGTTGGAGAAGGAGGAAGGGGCTCAGAGGAGGAGGAGGAGGAAGAGGCTGAGAGGAGAAGGAAGAGGAGGAGGAAGGAGCTCAGAGGAGGAGGAGGAAGGGGCTTAAGAGGAGGAGGAAGGGGCTCAAGAGGAGGAGGAAGGGGCTCAGAGGAAGCGGGTC